GGAAAATATAACTGAATTAAATGAACAAACGTGTCTCTGAGTCCTTTGACTCGATTTTGACTCAGAGGTGTGTGGATACGTGCGTTCCTCCACAGTGTTTACACCTGCCTGTGTGCACACTAACTCTTCATTTTAATGCGGAATCAGAATGTTTGAAGACACCTTAGGCTGCAGCGAACACTAACATCTGTAGAAGCAGCAATGCACTGAGCCTGACAACTAAGCTCCCTGACAAGGATCCTCATGGAACGTCAGCCACTGAGCTGACAGTACTGATGAACTGCATTCCAACCGCACAACCAAAACCCACTGACGCTGAGACCATTCCGACTCACAGGAGCCAAACAGACAGAATAGAGCTGCCGTAGAGGGTTTCCCAGAATGCAAATTTTTACAGGAGCAGTCGGCCTTGTCGGCCTCTCTTGGAGCAGCTACTGGATTTAAACCAGGATCTGTGGTTAGCCGCCCAACACTTAACTTCTAAAGTTAATGAAATGCAGATTTACTTGGGGGCAGAGGCATGGCCGGGCTCTACTTTCAGGAGGTGTGGACCTAGCCCGCATCCACTTTTCCCAGTTCCTGTGGCAACCACAGGGAAACACTTTGATCCCTTGGGTCTAGGATTAGGGAGGAACTGAACCTGAGGATAGTCATTTACTCACTGAGCTGGGATGTCGTTGGAAAAGGGGTCGCATTGTCCTTAAGAACTCTCAGGACCTTGGCTCAGGAATTCTTCCATGATTCCTTTTTTTGGGGGGTGGGGCTATGTTTTCAAAACCCTCCATATTCTCATGGTCTTCCCTATTCCCAGAGACTGAGAGCAGCTGAGAAACAGATCACACACATACACACACAGAGGAACACAAAGACACATCCTCTTCTTGCTGAGTGGGTGGTCTAAAACGTGTGTGTCCCCTAGGACCACTCCCATCTGGCCTATCCCCCGGTCTACCTTGGAATACCAAGCATCTAGACGCCTGAAGGATCTGGCCACCCCCAAGATCCGTAATAACATTTGGAGCATAAACATGTCTGAGGTAGGTGCCTTGATCTTCTGTGGACTTCTCCCCCATCCCAATCTTGGTGGGGGGACCCTGGTCCCACCTATGAGTGGACTGGGTGACAGTGCTCAGCCTGGGTATCTGTCTTTGAGCAGACAGACTTCAATGGCTAAGCTAAGCACAACTATGCTAGTTGCCTATGGGTTCTCTGGGAAACCTGAGACTTTCTCTTTGGAGTAAGTAGTCAGGGTCCCTTCCTTAGGCTGGGTTTTCTAGAAAAACAAAACCAGTGATATATATTTTGTTGTTGTTAGGTGACGTCAACTTGGTTCCAACTCACAGCAATCCTGTATAGGGTTTCCAAGGAGAAGCTAGTGGGTTTGAACTGCCAACTTTGTGGTTCAAAGTCCAGTGCTGATCCTACAGTGCCACACTAGGAATTCATATATATATATATATTCGTCGTTAAGTGCTGATGAGTTTGTTCTGACCCATAGCGACCCTGTATAGGGTTTCTGAGGAACAGCTGGTAAGCTTTAACTACTGACTTTGTGGTTCAAAGTGACTTTTTCAGATATTTTGGTGTCAGAAGATGAGCCCCTAAGGTTGGAAGGCGCTCAAAATACGACTGGAGAAGAGCTGTCTCCTCAAAGTAGAGTTGACCGTGATGACGCGAATGGAGTAAAGCCTTGGGGACCTTTGTTTGATATTGGGGCACAATGCAAAAGGAGAAACAGTTATAAACATCAATGAAATGTACAAAGTATGATTCTGGGAAAATTGTAAGTTGTCAAAAAGGAAATGGAATGCATAAACATAGGTATCTTAGGGTTTAGTGAGCTGAAATAGACTGATATTGACCATTTTAGATCTGATAATCACATGGTTTACTATGTTGAGAATGACAAATTGAAGAGGAATGGCGTTGCATTGGTCATCATAAAGAACATTATAAGATGTATCTTGAAGTATAATGCTGTCTGTGATAGGAAAATATTTATATACCTACAAGAAAGACCAGTTAATACCACTGTTAATCAAAGTGACCCACCAACAACTAAAGATGAAATTGAAGAATTTTACCAACTTCTACAGTCTGAAATTGATCAAATATGCAATCAAGATGTACTGATAACTACTGGTGGTTGGAATGCAAAGGTTGG